ATAAAAAATTTTATAGCTGAAAGTAAATAAAAAATATATAATTTAGCTTAATAGTGCTGCTTAGGAACTAAAAGACAGTATAACCAAGCAAATCAATATTTAAATTAAAAAGTCAAAACCAGTGCTCACATTTATTTAACACGTATAATTGGTATTTAAAATGGATTGCCAATTAGTCTTATTTAACTTTTTAAGTCCGGACGAAATATTTTTTTGTTGTTAATTTTCTTTTTTTAATTTATAGACACAAAATTTAAGGCTTAACTGATTACAGCCTTAAATGCAAGTGCACATACATATAATTTTACATTTAATGTATATAGCCGCTTTTGGTGCTCAATCTCACGTTATTAAAAATTTGTATTGTTTTTATAAGTTTTATGGTATTTTCATTAAAAGAATTCTAATATGCAGTTAGCGAATTAAAATTTATTGTATTTAAAAAATGTGTCGAAAATGATAATTCTGATATTCAACAAAAACGTTTATTATTAGGGTTTAATTTTAAACATCTTGAAATTGAAATGCCAAGGACAAATAAGAGTAAACATATTACGTTTAAAATTGCTTGTGACGGTTAAATATAATATTTCTTTAATTTCTGATAACTTATGCTGGCCTGCAATTTTTTTTCCTAACCTGAGTCTTTAACACATCAGCATTTAAATTAAGAGCTTAGCGAGGTTTAATTAGGTTTTTTCTCGAGACTCGTCTTTGTTTATTTTTTTAATTATGTTGTTTCACTGACAGCGTAACGTTGAAATAATGAAAAAATACATTTTTTCAGTATTGCATGCGAATAATTGAACATAGAGAGAGAGTGAAAGTAGCAAAATTATTCCAAAATATATCAGTAACTTGTAACTCACTCATTCGAGGTCGTAGGTTTCACAGATTTTGTCGCCAAATTTTAGCAAGCGTAAATTTAAGTTACCGAAAATTGAACTAAAGTAATTTGGAGTGAAAGAAATGGGTAATTTCTTTGTTGAGCCAATAGGCTAGACCAGCTCCATAAGTCTATATACGTTCAGAAGGCTTTCACTTCAATATATATGTAGAGAAGATAAAAATGTTTTAACTGTTAACTGTTAGAAGATAAAAATGTTTTAACTGTTAACTGTTAACTGTACTAAAATTTTGATTAAAATAAAATTCGATGCTGTGATTTAGAACTAAACATTTTTTTTAAGGAAAATGTTTGTGCAGTTTTACGAAAAAAAAAAGATTATAATTCAGTTAATATTTTGAAGATGAATATTTTATTTAGAATACGTTTTCTAACAACTATTTTACATTGACATCATCCAAAAAAAAAAAGAAGAGAGAGAGGGAAATTTTTTAACCAGAGTATACAATGAACTATTCATAACGGTGATCATTTTTGTTTCAAAAATAGTATTTAATTTTGCGAAGACTTTCATAGCATTAATTTAAATATTATTTCAAAATGAAAATAAACTAAACTAAATATAACTCAGAGGCGCGACAGCTCAAAGAGGGCCAAGGCCTACTGTGCCCATCTCAGTTTTCTTGACCTTGGGCCCTGGGGTGCCGGAGCAGATGTTCCGGTCAGGTGGTCACCCGAATGCGGAACCCCCTGTGTTTAGTTCCCAAGTATACTAGATACTCATTCATCGACCCACTGAAGGGGTGAAAGGCTGAGTCAACCTTGCCCGGCCCGAGGATCGAACCAGGAACCTGTGGCACGACAGCGGGAAGCGCTACCGCTCAGCCATCGGGAGTCAAAAATGAGAGTACAAAAAAAAATAATGGCAGAATTCTATGGCATTTTTTTATTTTAAATTATGCTTGCCTACTTAGCTCTATACTTATCATACACTGAATGAAAAAGTATCGCTAAAACTACCAGAATATGGTGAAACTTACAGTGTTCCTTTTTCTATGGAAACATCAAAAAGCTAGGTAATTTTTACTGAAACATTTTGGTAATATTTTCTGTTTGTCATTTATCCTTTTTGATAAAATTGAAAATAAAACATAATTTTGTAATATGTGATAAAATTTGTTGATTTTATCATCATACCTTAGACTTTAGAGCATGGCATAAAAATAATTTACGCGGTTTAATTTACTGTTCAGTTTTATTTTATTTCTTATGAAATGTGCAGGAATACGAACTATAATTTTTTATACTAGAAATTCCAGTAAGCCGTTACCATATGAACGGAAAAGTTACCAAAAGAATTATTTAAATACAGTATATTTTGTTGTTATCAACAAGAATATACTTTTAACCAGAAATTCATTACTATACAATACGGCAATTTCAGCAAAATTTTTTCTATCGTTTAAATTTTGTACATTTTGTTTAAAAACGTATACATTTTGTTATCGTGTACATTTTGTTTAAAAATATTATAGCAAGTGAGAGCTATTTTATTTCTAGACTTCATGAAGCTGCAGCTTCTATTTCTATTATAATAATATTATTATAAAGATTTTTTTAACATCTATAAATCATAAAATGGGAAGATTTCTTTTAAAATTTAGAAAATAAAGGTTCTCCAGTTAATCACGAACATTTTTATACAGTATAATGATAACGACACTGAGCACCTGAAGCAGAAGTTCCCATATTTATCTTTAATTAAAATTGTTCTTAATACGAAGCTAAAGGTTCTTACAAATTAACGAAGCAATTATCTAAGTTCTAAAAAAACTTCTCTCATACATGAACTATCATTGTTGTCTATTTCGTAACCATTACTTAAATGAGAATTTCAAAGGTCAGGTACAGATTTTTTTAAATCTTTTTAAAAACATGTTTAAGCATAAAGAATTATTTTAATGAGTTTTCATAAAAATTGTAAAATATATTTAAGTAGAAGTGGATAGTAATTTAAATGCGAAGAAATTATATATTGTAATTATTTATTTGATTATTAAATATCGCAAATAAAAAATCATCAGAATTTATTTATTTTAATAAATAATAGCTCTTTTTATTAACTTCATTATACGCTTCCAAAAAAATAGTTGTTCTTTTAAATAAAACCTTTCTTGAAATAGTTTTATAAATACTCGTTTCATAATAAAATATTTATATTATATTAGATAGGTATACATAGTAGAAATATTTCTATAGATAAAATATTTCTATATATTCAAAATATTTCTAGGTAGATATGTGTTATTTAGGTTTGAGAAACCAACTGAAACGAAAGTTTATTTTTAATAAAGCCAAATTTAATTTATATAATACTCCAATATAACCTCTATTACTTTATGGTAGCAAATGCTGTTCTTCGAAAAAGATTGAGTAAAATAAATTACTTATATTTTAAAGTAAAATACTCAGGTCCATCTTCGAAGCTCTAAAAGAAAACAGCATTTGGATTATTTAGTATTGTGGTGAGAGTACCTGGTTATCGATCTTAATTTAAACTGAGTTAAATTAAGATCACCGTACTTTTTGAGTGCTGATCGTGAGAGCTGTATAAAGTTCACTGTCGTGGTCGCTCCTGTGTTGCCATTAGCTGTCGAGTGAATACGATGTACGTTATGTGTGAAACTGAGTAACAGCAGCGTGAGGAGGACTATGTCCCAGTCACAAGTAGCAAGTCAACTGTTCAATGTAAACCATCAATCGAAGTAGGCGTGTTTAGATCAAAGTGGGCGTTACTGTCAAGAAAGACGTGTTCAGATCGAAGTGGAAGTTTGTGATTAGAAGTAGGCGTGCTCACATCACGTTCGGGTCATCAATGTGGTGAGAGAAGCTTTCGATCATGTCAACCTTCATCAATGAAAAGATACCCCGTCATAGACTCGAGTTAACATGTCTTATATACTAGTGAAGTGGAGTTATGTTTTTGTAGTGGTAGATAAAAATTTAAGCAACCAAACACAATTTAAATTTTTTTAATTCTACAGAATAAGATGGTGGGATCACATCTATAGAAAGGATGATGGTGACCCAGTTAAGAAGAGAATTTTTGGAAAAAGTTTATAGTAAAGTTTACAGGGAACTGAAAAAGGGGAAAATCGAACACAGATGGATCGATTTAGTAGAAAAAGGTCTTAACAACGGTTAAAATCAGAGTGCTGGTATTTTTTACGGTAAAATTACTGAAACACTCTTATTAAATAAGTGTTAATGTAAAAATTACGGGAAAAATGGATTTTACGGATGATGCACTAGAAGTGCCGGTACTTTATACCGTAATCTGAACCGAAATTTGCAGTTTTACTGTTATTTGATTTCTAATAATTTTGATTTGTCCTTAACTGTTGCTGATTTAGATGGAACAATTGCTTTGAAAAAAGAAACTATGGATTGTTATGAGATAGTAAAAAAAATTCCAGTTAGGTATGTGTTCGTTATACGAATTCTTAAAGAGCTGGTAACCCACAGTATTATTTGACATGAGTCTATCATACATAACTCAATATGATAGACGAAACATCAAATAATACTGTGGGTGTACACGAAGTGCATTCGTTTTCTTTTAGAAATATATGTAAATGTTCTGACAATTAGATATTCAGATATTTAGATATTCTGTCAATTTTTAGCTGACAATCAACATTATTTTATATAAATATAAATAAAAAAGACATGTAGAAAGATGCAAATATATTAAAAAATTTAACACGTTCACGCGGAGTGACCCACCGGTGGGTCACGCTAGATTTTCTCATCTTGGCGGCGCACCGGAGTAAAAACTGGTAACAAAAAAATTTAAATTTTTAGTTTTTTTCCGGGAATAATAAAAAAATATAACTACCAATTTTTTTAACGGATGCAATTTTTATATTGAATTGCTTCTTCGCCGTGATAAATTTCCTTACAGTGAATTGTTATTGTTGAGAATAGATTAACTCCTCCCGAATCTTATCTAATATTGAAATAGTATTCTCTCTTTTCCCGTACCAGTATTTTCACTTTTCCCGGCGTGAACGTGTTAATTGCATTAAAAAATAACAGAGTTCCAAGAAAATAATTCTTGTACTGTACTCATTTAAAAAATTGAATAACTTACTGGTTTTAAATAACGTATTTCAGTTTTGGAACTATTGCCGTCCTGCAGCAACGGTGGATTGTTGTTGGTGTCGATGGTTTTTATGCGTCCATTCATGTCAAATGTTGCGTCATCTACTGCACAGGACACTTTAAAAGAAAAAGATTCTGATGATACTGTCTTTAGTAGAGACGTTGTTGATAATTCTCCCGTTTGCTTCTTTATTTGGATGAAACTTTCTCCTAAAAACAAACATGTCAGATGCAACAATTTTTAACACACATTACGATTTTTTTTCTTAATTATTAGGAATCATTTTTGTAAAAGTAAGCTGAATAAATAAAATAAATTTATTCTGAATTTTTATTGTATGATTTCGTAGTTGAATAAATATAACACATTGGGAAAAAAGTATGGTTAAAAATCACAGTAAATTTTACAATATTTTACCAGAATATGGTAAAATGTACCGTGTTTCTGACTCGATGGAAACGTTAAGAAACTAGATGACTTTTTCAAAATTACTTTGGTAATGATTTTGGTTAAATAAGCAATAAAATATAATTTTCTAATATGTGATAAAATTTGGTAAATGTGGTAAAATTGCTGAATTTATTATGATACCAAAATTACCAAGTGAATGGTTTAAATATCAAATATTTCAGTTTTATTTACTAGGATTATGTCGTTTTTTTAAACCAGAAATGTTAATACCGTGTAGTATAATAATTTTACCACACTTGTTTTATCTGTTCAGAATTGAAAACTATCGCAATGAATATGACAAAAGATTACAACGACTAAGAATAAATGAAAAAATATTTTGATACATTGTTCGAACATTTCAGATCGATTCTATGATTATTCTACGGCAATGATTAACACTGATATTTGAATTTCCGTACACAATTTAGTATATTTATAAACCCACATTTTATGCCCAAAAATTGTTTGACATTCATTGTGCTGAATTATTTTTATTTTTCTAGTTAGCTTTCAAACATAAATAGATTAATACAAGGGTTCCCAAGTTCTTTCAACACTTCTTTAATAATACAAGAGTCCCAAGCTATGGAACCCTAATTAATCGAGATTTCTTTTGGCGAAACCCTTGGCATTATAAAAAAAATGTTCATTATCGACTTTAATATACTTCACAAAAAAAAGGTAATTACTTATTTAAAACTATTTTATGAATAGAATGAATTATTAAAATGAATTTTTTCTTGGTGTATATACTGAAAATGTATAAAATAATCTGAATTATGGTTTTTAAAAAAATAACTGTTAAAAACGATCAGAAAAGCTAACCGAAAAACGAAATTCTCTATTTTTGAATTTAGTTATTTTATTTTGATTTAGAAAACTCGATCAAAAATATATACATATTATAATGCAAATGTATATTATCTTCCTAATTTATTCAATATATTGTTATTGAAAAAAAAATTTAATTTTGCTATTTTTTTATTCGCATTTTCCATAAAAAAAGTGCACATAAACAAGCGAAATCTTAACTGATCTTTGACTGGGTGTAAATATTATAACTGGTAATTCACAGTGAGTTGCAACGTTTTCACTTATGTTTTGTTTATAACGGCAGAGTATCAGCCAATTTCAAAACCCGTGAAATTACCACCGTAGTTTTTTTTAAATCTTTTTAGTTAAATGAATTCACAGTAGACGGTAACGTTTCTACATATGTCTTGCTGAACACAGCAATATTCCAGGCGAATTCAATGCCTGTTAAATACTATGTTCATCACCGTGGATTTCAATCTTTACTTAATTGAGGAAATTACACTGAGGATAGCAACATCCTCAGTGTATTGCGGCTTTGAGAAGAACTCCTCCAGACTGAAAGTCTGGGGCTATGTGCTGCTATGGTTACCAGCGAGAACACATTTCTAATGGGGGTGAAATGGAGGAAAGAAGGCGTCGATTGGTTTACTCACGACGACATACGCTAAGATTTAGATAAAACTATTCACTCCACACCCCTATTCGAAGTGACCTTTCCTCATAACCATAGTACCCGCCACGACGCAAGACGAGTGTCTGGAGGAGTTCTCCTGCAAGCCGCACTATATAAATGCTTTCATATTCGCATGCCTCAACTCGATTAATTGGTAAACATACTTTGACTTAATAAGTTACGTCGAAAACACGCGCCATTTTTACTATTTTGAACCTGTGTCGAGGAAGCACTATGCTGTACTTTCTTCATTTCAAATATGACATTAACCAAATCCAGCTTATAATTTTTTCCAAAACAATATTTGAGGGATTTTAAATTTAATTTATAACACCTGATTCTAATTCGAGGTGCTTACATGATTTAACTGACTGCATCATTAAAATTCATTAGCGAATAGTAATGTTTAAAAAAAGATTCACCCATAGTTCAGAGATTTAAAGCAAACAATTTATTTTTCATTTATGAAACAACGATGAATCTATCGAAAAGTTCTTCACAGAAATTTGGAAATTAAAATAATTTCAGCCATCAGTGACTTTTAATAAATTTTGTGCTCAAAAATTTTCCCTTTAAAAGCATTATCTCTCTTAAAAAAGATTATAAGCAATTATTTCATATTCGTTCATTTATATGGATCGTTTTAATAAACTATTCTAGTTAAGAAAAAAAGTATACTAAATGAAAAGTACACTAACTGAATTAATTGTAAAGTGATTAATTGTTTCTTGATAAATGTGGGAACAAATAGTGCTATTTTTTGTTCTTTGCCACTCCTAAGTCGGCGAATACAAATTTTACTATAAAAGCTTTTTACAAAATATCACTTCAGTAATTCAATTGGATATCTAGTTATTTTGCTCATGTGCTTAACAAAATGATAAAGTAAAGAGAGTTTGAAATAAATATTATTTTAGTTAAAAATAATTATTGCGTTGAATTTAATAATTTCAAAGGCACAAGTTTCCAATTTGTCGCTCCCAGGCTGCTAATCATTCCTAATTATTATCAGCTTAGAAGTTTTAATGTGGCCTAGTAAATCGTGTATGTAAGCGAATGATAGTTTTTTCCCATCAAAAAGACACCCCAATCATGCAGTAAAAAAATGCTCTTTACATTAAGGTATCAATTAAATTGAAGTCATAAATACGAATTGTCTTATTCTTTTACATCCAAAGCGACTTAAAGACGTTTTTAAGTGTCTAAAATTATGATGTGTAACGTAAATGAATAGTTTGCTTTTGATAGTTTGCACTCTTGCTAGCAAGAGTTGTCTAGTAGGTTTTATTTAGGTAATGAAAAAACCTGAATACAAACGGTTACTATTAAGTTCAAATTAAAAAATTAAATTATAGCATAAAAAATATAACTTTAGATTGGTGAATTAAAGGGGGAAAAATTACGAAGGAGAAAAACATTTATGTGGATGAATGAATTTTGTACAAATATTATATAGAACATTTTTAAAAAGAAAGTGGAAATTCATAGAAACAGTCGCTTCATAATAAACTCATAAGTTTTGAGAAACTAATAAGTAAAAACAACCTTGAAATTTCTTTTGAAAACTGCAAAGCATATATCAATTTATATCTCTATTTACACTTTCAACGAAACATCCCAATATTTCTTAGCGTTCAAAAGAAAACATCAAAAAACTATCCCCCTTTTAAAACTTCAAGACAAAACACGGAAAAACATCTTAAAATCTAATCCCAGAAGGCGAATCTAATCTTGGATTCAATCCAAAGACTGAATACCGAAAATTCAATAAACTGCAGAAGTCGTCTGCTATCTGATTGATCAATACTCTATATTCGGTAACCGGAGAGCCATATCCGGAAAAAAAAAGAATAAACAACGTTTATATCTATTCCTTTTCTTACTACTCGATTGATATCTGAGTCGATTCAAACATTTATACTTGGTTCCCCCCTTGATAACGCCCAACAGCCACATAAATATTTAAGAGATGGGACCATTCATCTGGAGTTGGAAGTGCGCATGGTAGCGCAAATAGTGATGGATCATTAGTGCCCGAAATAGCTCAATTATCAGTGAGGATTTTTTTTTTCTTTTTGTATAAAATATCGCAGTGAATATATTTTAAATACATATAATAGATGAAATTGATGGTAATAATTTCCTTAAAGGGTCATTTGGGTCATAGGCTTTGGCCTTGTCAAGACACTATTTATAAATCAAGTGGTTAAATAATGAATTATATTTAAAGAATAAGTTTTTTGCGAATAGTAATTGTATGAATTGCGGAAAAACAGGGAAAGAGAGATTCGAATAATTCTTGTGGAAATGAATTAGTTCCACTATGAATGAGATATGATAAATTGAGTCTAGAGAATGTTTTTCAATACATTAAGAATTTACTTCTGATGTTATAAATAATATAATGGGATCATCTTTACCAATGGTACAAAATAATCTTGACAATGGCATTGTTTCTAAGTTGAGATCATACCAAAATTAATTTTATTTTATAACCGTCGTTGAACAGCTGACCCAATTTTGGGTTTAAGACTACCAACCCAATTTTGGGTTTAAGACTTGGGTTTAAGACTACCTGTAGCTTTGTAATTTTGAACCCGATCCAGAAAACAAGTGAACTCCTTGGTCAAGTATTGGGAGAAATTTGCTTAGTGGTGGACTTTTTTATGGAACTAACTCGTATTTGCGCTACATGGAGATGAAAACTCCGAAATCCTCTCGCTGTTAGCTCGACGGCAAGAAAACTCTAACCCATGCTTCGTCTACCACTGAGGATATTTTACGTCAGCACTGTGGTCGGTGCGAGCCGGGTACTGAATTCGTATCGACCAGCAATCACTGGGATTCGAACCCGGTTCTCATTTTTCATATGGAGATTTAGAAGAAAAGAAAATGGAATAAAAATTAGAAAATAGTTTTAGTCCCCAGATCAGTAAAAAATCATAAATGGAATTTGGGAAAATTATTAATTGAAAAGTGGATGACAGTAAATACTAAAAAAATTATTATGATCGCATCCTACAGGTTTTCACTAAAATTTAAATACTGCTCTTTAATCAAAAACCAGGCATTGTTGTTGTAAGCTTTATTTTTGTTACAAATAACGAAATACTCGCAAAAAATTTGGCGAGCAAGATTTTAGTTCATCTTTGCGTAAAATTTTGTACTTTAACTTCATTTCTACCACAAGTTTTGGAGGTCAAGAAGTCAAGAAAATTGAACACTAATTTTTGTTTCGCAAAATTTTTCAATAGAATTTTTTTTTCTTTTTTTTGTTAAAACCTCTTCTTAAACTTTATTACTTAACTAACAAAGTTGGTAGTTAATTAATTATACTCTGAACCATATTTCTGTTTCCTTAAAGGCAATTTTAATGTAGTCCGTAACAAAATGTATGGAACTATATTTACTTTGCTGTCATATACCCTTGATTTTAAAAGAAGAGACAACTTTAAAGAAAGGCTAAAAAAAAATTTAAAAAAGCAACGAAGCGTAAAATCCGAAATAGAGCTAATCAAAAAATGATAAATCCGTGACTAACTCGATACAGCAAAAAATAAAACTTAACATAGAACATTTTTAAAAATATTGACTGTCGAATAGATCAAAACAAAGAAGAATGGAACTAAAAAAAATTAATTAAAAGATGTTTAAATTCTCGGAGATACAAAAAAAAAGTGAATAATGAAGCTGAAAGAATGTATCAAAGAATCATGCACTTACGAATATGGTAGAAATAAGACTGATTCATTCACGAAATATACTAAACAATAAAGGATGAAAACACATAAAGAGCGAAACAACATGGGCTAAAATTATAAATTTAGCTTGAGTAGATATAATGATAATCCATGTTTAAATTGTTATTAAGAGTGTTTTATGTGTAGTTTTAAGCAGGCACTAAAATGCTTCTGAGTATTGTGCTACAATACACAGAAAATTCTGAAACTTGTAAATAACCTATCTGGAAACAATATTATTGAGGAATTTGATTTAAAAACGTCACCTTTGAAAACTTAGATTACTATATTTCCAATACTTTGTACACTTTTGTAATATTTTGAACATAAAAATTTTCTAAATTGCAACAAGTGACAAAAAATAATAATCTGTCATATATATTAAATGTCTGTTAAGAAATTTCTAAACAAATGATGATTTAACAGAGTGTATGCAAGTATTTTTCAAATTATAAGTTTTTTTATGTTCCAGAACTTTCTTCTATTTTTATAGTTCCTGCTTAAGTTATATATATTTTTGTAACAGTTACAGTTATAAAATTTCGCACGGAAATCTTTACATGACGTTAAAAAAATAATACCATCAAATATGGTCAAGGAAAAAAAAAGTCTTACTCTCAAATTACATTTTTACAGAATAATATTAGAATATATTATTTTACAACTATGAATAAAATTTTTTACAGAACACAACTTTACTTGCACGCGAAGGTACCTAATAATTATTGACGGCTAACATATTTTTTTTTCTCAAAAGATTATGACAGTAAATTATTCTTATAAATGGCTGTCACGGAATATTTCCTAATGGTTATAAGATTAAAGGTTACATTCCAAGTATACTTTTACTACAGTTAACCTGTAAATTATTCTTTTCAAAGGAAATTGTTACTATTTTCAACTAGACCAATACTTTTTAAATCTTTATTATGAAGAAAAAGAATTGTCTTTACACTGCGAGTCAAAATGATCCAAAAAAAGTTTTCGAATAATTTAAAATACTTAGCGTTTTTTACATTTCCAGCAGAACATCTACATATTTAACTCTCATTAAAAAATTCTTCTTTATGAAATTCGAATTTAAATTATTTTGTTAAAATCGTTCGTTTGAAGTAATTTTAAGCAACTTTTAAAATTTTCGTAATTTTTGTAGAACAATGAAAAATGTTTCTTTACCTATTAAAGGAATTTGTTTTTTACAATTGATTTTAAATATTTTTAGCTATTGATATTATATGAAGAATTTTATAGAAATTTCAATACTTCAGAAAGCTTAAAAAAACTAACTGTTGCCAAAATTAGTTCAATATTACAGGGAATCCATTATTTCTTTAAATTCATATTGAATTTCAAGTACTGGAATTATTTTTAATATTACTTTGGTTTTTAAATTCATTTTAAACTCTTTAAATTCTTTCCTTATTATTCCTATTTTCATTATTTTGGATTAGCCTTCAAAATATAAACAAGATTTGAAATTATTTGTACATGAATAACGCAGATTAATAAAACTGTCTAAATAATTGGATTCTCTTAGAGTTATAAAATGAAGTAAAATAATATGTAGCAAATCGTATTAGTAAAGGTAAAAGGGAGGATAAGTTTTTTTTTTTATTTTTATATCATCCAATGAAGTAATATTTTCTAAACATTTTATGTCAACTCTAAAGGCTTTATGTACAGGTAAAAGTAATCTCATACGAGGCAAAATGCTGTATAAAAAAGAGTTATAATTCAATCAGAATATTTCAGTCACTTTGTTGCCATGGATACGCAATTCACTTTAGTTTTTATCTAAAGTGAGCTTAAAAGCTTAATGTAAAATAGGAACAGATGGTATACAATTTGTTATCACTTGCTTTAAATTTATGATTCTTAATCTTTTACAAAATTTACAAATTTAAAATTAAGTTGCCTTTTGATATAAGTATATCATTTATATAAATTTTGCTAGAAATTTTTTTTTTAGTCTATTTGTTATGAGACAGATTTTTGTAATTCTCTTTTTATGCTTTTTTATCTTTCAAAAAGAAACTTTTGCGATTAGCATTTTTGGATGGATTTGTTTATAAATTAATTTGTGTAATTAAGTATATCTACTTAAGTATAACTAACTTAACTTAATTAAGTATAATCTACTTAACTACTTAATTAAGTATAATTAAGTAGAAGGAAACTCAAACTATAAACAGTAGGTATATGCTTACGTTAACTTACTCTATTTTCAATGTCTAAGTTATCGCACTGGATGAAAATTTAAAATTTTTAGAAAATTTCGATATTTTTTCTTAACTGCATTTAAACTTTAGTTCATCAGCTTTTCCAAAACCTTTTAAATTTATGTTCTGAATTTTAGAAAGGAAGTTATATTGGGTTTTACGTATGCTGACAGACGAAACTGAAACAAGAATTAAATACCTGAAAGCGAAACTATAACGTTTTACTAAGCTTAAAGTATAGTAATATTTTCTTGGTGCATAAAACAAATGTATGCTTAAAACAAATATAATTCTTTATCAGAAAGTAATTTTTAAATAAAATTTTTTTTTACTGTAACAATTTTCTTACATTTATTACATTTTACCAGCATTTCCTTTTCTTTTTTTTTTGCATTTTAAAATAATTTCTGAAAACATTGATTTTAACAGAATTTCTTAACGCTAATACACATTGCAAAAGTTTATAATTCAATTTTTTGAAACTTTGTATATAGATTTTGCATAATGCTAGCTATGATTTGAATTGAAAACTACGGCCTATGTGTGATTTTTTTAATCAAAATTTACGTAAAAAGGTTTATAATATTTCATTTAAAAATCAATACAAAATAATATATTTAGTCCTATTTCATCCTACGTTTGAAATTTTTTTAAATTTTTATAGCTCTAGAAAAATAATTATTTTGATACTATTGTTGTATTACTATTTGTTGTATTACTATTGCGTTACTATTTGTTGTACAGTTTTTAGCGTGGAATGAATCATTGGAATGGTGTCATTGTAGTTTTTAAGCTAAAATATTTAATAAATATTTAAAGTATACTTTTAATTTATAATTTTAGAAGTAATGCTTGTCAAACATAAAATTAAAAGGCTAATTAAGGCCTTTCTTTAAGACCCGTTGGATTCTTTTAACATTAGAGCGTAATTAACCTTGTAACGAGAAGTGATTCGCATTATTGAACTCCTAATAAGGATTTCCAAACTCTTTGCCTTAGTATTGAATCTGTTGCTTTAAAAATGTAACATCTTTGTAGTCAGAGGCTATTTCGATGGAATTAGTAATGAATCGAATAATTTACCCACATTTTCCAAAGCAAAATTTAATTGTTTTTATCATTAGCAATTTCCTATGCTGTTGAATGACTGCTCCGATACGCGCAGTATTTTTTCAATTTATATTTATAACTATCTGCCTCATTTATTTATATCCACAACTGTTTGCATCACTTAATTATACCTACAACTGTTTGCATCATTTTGCAACATTTAAAATTTTTCTGTCTTAATTAAATTGTACACATCACCAAAAAAAGGAACGAAAAAAAAATTTTTTTTTTCGTTTGGAGAAAGATTTATTATTTTGATTTTAAGGGAGCTGAAAACAAATGAAATTCAAAAATAAAACTAAAGTTTTACTTGATGTAGTTTTAGATTTTAGTTTTGAAATAAACTCATGTAATTTTCAGAAGTTTTACAAAAATAGGGAAAATTCTCTGTAGACCAATGCCTAGATATAGTATTTTTCATTTTTTTCTGCAATGAATATCTTATTTTTCTTCACCACCATCGATTAGCAGCCTATCTAAGTAGTGTATTTGAGGTAATAACCACCCTTTTCACATACCCACCAATAACATCTCAGAAGACAAGGAAGCTTCTTCGTCAATCATTAAAGTAGCTATCGCAGTGAGTTTTTGCAATGGAACGAACCCATACTTGCATTAACAGAAGAAAAAGCATCAAAAGTCTTATAATTGCTAATTGTAACTTAAAACCAAACATTAATCTGACGTAAATTCGTTCTTAAAACACGATCAGGTGACCTCTACCAATAAAATTTCAATACTCTGAGCTGAACAAGTGTTAGGCAACATGAGCATATTGCTCGAAGCAAATATTTATAAGACAAAAATTGTGTGTATTTAAAATAAAAATTGACGCAAAACCATCATAAATTGAATTGATCGAGGCTTAAACCCAAATCACATACTCATAAGAATTTATGTACTTGTTGATTACATGAAAATCTCAAAACTACGAGAAAATTTAAAAAAGAAGAATGAAATTAAATCATTTTACCTTCTACAACACTATATACTACAGTGGAGCTTGGGCAAAACTTGAAATAACTCGGATTTTGCAAATGATCGAACACTGTCTTTACTTGGATTTCTTCTGGAAGGTTGTATTTGGAATTAGAATTCATGAAGCAAGAGCGCTCAGATGGTTGGCAAAACGTTTTCATGATTCCTGAAAGAGTGAGAAGAACTTCCGCTTTTTTTGTCACTCCAGTAGACTTAGTTTCTCCTGATACGGTGATGTTGACAGTGATATGATATTTCTCTTTACCTGAAACAAGAAAATAAATGAATTTAGTACTAATATGAACTGTAAATTACTATGGGTAAAGGACGATGTAATATCAATATACTATGCAATGAGGCTAATTATAAACGGTGATGTTTAAAATAGGTGACTTAATGGCGAAATCGTTTAGTTCCTTTCTGTAGAAAATTTTAGAATCATAAATTTAAAGTTTGGTAATTAGATTCAATATAAAACATTCAAATGAAAAAAACAAAATAAGAATATTCCATTATTCACTTAAAATAAGGTAGCGTGAAAGTCCTATAACTATTAAAGACTCTCGAGAGTTAAATAAACAGTTTGTTATTAATTATTAAAAGTAGCAGTTTTAACTGTTTTTATATTGCTATAGCTTTACAAAAATAATTAATTTGAATTTTCTGAAAGCATCAATTTATGATATAATAGTCTATTTCTAAGAGAAAGAAACAAGAAAAGCTTTGTAATAAAAATTTTCTTTTCATATTACTTCGCAAGTTGTAATAAAAAATATTATTACCAAATTTTTAAGATAAGCATCTTTAGCATCAAATTATAAGCATAAAACTCAGTTTTCAATTATAATTTTTCTTTTTCATTGAAGCTTGAAAAAACGCTTAAAAAAAAAAAGAAAAAAAAATTCTCGCAACAGCCAATTTTCAATCAAGGGGTTCTTAGAGGTTAAGGGTTTTTACAAAATTCAGGGCTCAAAGAAAAAGAAAGAATCTAAATAACTCTTGATCTAAGATCTTATTTTCGCGTACTAGGACTCAATCATAATGGTTCATGAGAGGATGCTAATTATTTAGCGAATATGATGTTTTAAGTTACTAAATTGCACACAATAGCGTACTTTCTCTGAATAAACATAACTTTCTTTCTAAATATTTGGATTTCTGATCCTCAAAATATGGGTGATGCGGAGGCCGCAATCACAAATATATGTTTTCAAAAGTCCGATTAGGAGCAACGAAAGTGTAGACCCCTTATGTTAATTTACGTCTTTCATATTTTGTAATATCTAAAGAGCTTCTTAAGCGAAACAAGAAAATTTGGATACAATTATACAATTCATTTATATAAAGATAATTTTCTGCTAAAAAAGTATTTTTAATAAATATTTATTATTTTTTATGATTTTATTTAATAACAGTCAAAAAATTGAACTGTATGGTGTGCAAATTTTTAAATCCTTCAAAAGAATGTCATTTGAAATGAGAAAATACGAAATTTGAATGAAATTTGTCGAATAATTCGCGACAAATCGAGTTTTAAAGAAGTCGCATACCTAATACAAGTCTGCCCTCCTGACCAAAGATATAGTTTTGTTAAGATTGCGGCTATCTATATATCCGTAATCTAATATATATAT